TCCCTGTAGATTGAATCTAACAGTCCTACTTAACCTATCTCCTCTACATATTATTATTCCTAATCCAATTTTGTCTCTTTTCCAAATCAAACATCCTCCTTCTATATATTCACTAATCTGCCCATAAACGTCCCTTGTAAAGTATGAGATTCTACATTGAAGGATATTTCAAGTCTGCTTGTTCTTGTCAAGTACGCCAGAACTTCTCATAGGTGTATTAAGCCTCTATATATGTGACTATATATTATCATAACACTTAGCTTGCATACCCACCCATAAACTTAGAGCAATAGAGCCTTTGATGTCGGGGCCATTTTAATACTTTCTGGTGTAGCATTTTGAAATTATATCATCCTAATAGTTATTTCCAAGGAAAAAAATAGGACTAACATTTTTTTAAATGCGGAGAATCACAAAAAAACTTGAAGTCATTAACCCTCGCTGTTAATTTCTTCTCTTGAAATCTGCTCTGGTATGCAAACATTTGACTTTTCTTTCCTTGAACTAAGTACAAGCTGACAAGTCTCTCTCCGATAGCAAAAACTCTGACTGTTTGATTTCATACTCTCCCTTATTTCTAACTCATTCTTTCTGTAGAACCTTAGGTAAACATTTTTTTTTTTATGGAGGCATCTTCTACATTATGGAAATCTGAACAACTGATATAAAACATCCTTGAAGGCAATGATGGAAAATGACTTACTTAGAAAACATGTTAATATGTAATTTCTAAAGACCCAGTTCTGGCTGCAGCACTATCATTTGCTATATGAATCTACACAGGCTGTATTCACTGTGCTGAGATTCAGTTTATTCATCTAAAATGTATTATCTGTATTGAAGCTCAAATGTGTCAAAAAATATAATGCTAAAGCACTAACTTTTTAATTCTTGAAATTGTTATTAATAAACAGTATAGATTTGAGTTGTTTAAGCTGTCATAGAGTGAAAACTATATTGTGTTTCACTAAAGGGTTGAGGAAAAAGATAATTTCATTATTTCCCACTATGAAAGGCTCCCATTTCAGATGGCATTTGACTCAAAATACTGAAATTTGAAAGATGGGTGAAAACTTGGATCACTATTTTCTTATTTCCATGGGTTGGACGTCCCTTGCGGTTGCCACCCTGATAGCAGAAGCCAAGGAGTTTTCCATGATTGACTGTCATGTGTATTTACTTGGCTCCCAAATATCTCACAGGCAGAATTTTCTTCTGTGGTTATATTAGATTACACTTAACTCTTAGAATATCAAACCACAGCACTTTTTTATATTGGGTGGACAGTAAGACAGATTTCTAACAGATTTTTACTTGACAATAACTAAGAATTGATCAAAATTTATGAGCTTCCAAGAGTATTTTTAATAAATTAAACTTAAACACTTAAATTATACCTTTTAGTATGTTTTCTTTTCTCTAGCTCTTAAATTCATGCTTAGTTTAAAAATTTTTAAATGATAACTAATGGCCATTCCCCCTGGATATTTTAAATATTCTCAGTTATAAAGCAACATTTTAAAAATCAAAAAAATCAAGATTTTCATGAGTTTTAAAAATAAAATCCTGCCATTCAACAAAGCCATTAAAAAATTTCTTTTGAAAAATCACAGCATCTAATTTCAGCCCCCTCAAATCTCATATTCCTAATCCCAACATCCGTCAAGGTAGTCAGGTATCCTCTGTTTAAATGCCACCAGAGGCTAAAAGTTTATAACTCTGTGATACCCACTCCACTATTACATATTATATATGCTTCATCTTCTTTGTGTTTAGTCAAAATCCGCTGAAATCTCTACTTATTTTTCCTAGTTCTATCCTGAGACCTAGAATAAACGAGTCTTAGCCTTCATTTTAGTAGTGTTTTTAAGTGCTGTTTTAAAATCTTAGTTTCAGATACATTTTTAAGAAACTACCATGACTCCAATAAAATGGAAATAAAAATATTATTCTTTTCCTAGTTTATATATGTTTTCATTGAACTAAAACATTGCTGGCTAATGAGTGGCTGGCACAATAAAGCCTTGGTTGAATTTGCAGCCCATGCTGGACACCCTTTGTTTCTCCTGCACAGAACTTATCATATTTGAATTTGTCTTTTTTTCTAGATGCCAGCTCCATGAAATCAAAAGTTTTGTCTATTGCATTCACTGTTATATCTTTAGTATGGTGCCTGCTTCAGAGTGACAAATATTTTTCAAATAATGATGACATGCATGTATGATTGATTCGTGGGCGCATGATTGCATGCATAACTGAATACAAGTGTAAACAGACTAGAGTCTATGCATGATGAAGACACCATTCAATTTTCATATTTCTACTGTAAAATCTATGCTACAACAGCCTAAGAATTATTTTTTGGCATTATTTCTGGGACCTAGTCAGTAAATCTCAGTGTCCCAGGAGAGCAGGTTGTCCAGGGCATGACTGCTTTCTTGATTCTTATTTTCAAGTTTCTCATTAAGCTGTGAGGAGACAACTTGAAATCCACAGATGGCCCTCAGGAGTATAAGATATATAACCTACTCCTCCAGGTGACATCAAGGAGGCACATGGCTTACATCATTGTGTACTCTCATGTGACTAAGACAGATATTTGCTAAACCTGATAGATTACTTTTCGGAATCATGCTTACCATAATTCTATAAGATGATCAAGGTCAGTGGACATCTATGTGTCCTTTGAATAAAAGGTATATTTGTCCCAGAGGGTAATTTCATTTTGATCTATTTTTGGCATAATATCTGGGAAAGATTTTTGTAGCTGTGTGACAAAATTATTGACAGTAGTAGGCAGAAAGTCCAGGGACAGGACTGTTGCTGTGGCCCAAAATTTCAAGGGACAAAAGATGAAGGATGGCAGGGACACAGAAAAGGGTAGAGTCCAAGTTGTTCTGAAAGACCTGGCAGAGAAGGAACTGTAGGACTTCTAATCAGCTGAGTACAAGATTCAGAGGGGGAAGAATTGAGAGATTCAAAGCTGGTTCAATTAAGAGGACGCAGAAGCCATTTTATATTAAATAAGTGTTAAAGATTAATCAAAAAGCTAATAGATGCTCTTCTACTTCTTTTCCTAAAATGAACATAATTCACTTAAATAGAGCAATTAGTAGTTTTATTTGATGGTTAGGATGAGCCACTTTAATAAAGTCCCAGTTTTAAATAGCATAATTGAATAAAATACCATGCTGTACTCAGTGATTTCATTAGCTACTCCTTCTGGAAGGAAGACAAGCTGCTCAGACCCCATACTACACCAAAGGTACTACACCTTCTCAGCAGTAGCCTGCCCTAATTAAATATCATTAGGCAACCTACTGAGTGTTAGTTTCACAAACAGCCTTGTAAAGTTATGTAAGCATCACAGAGGAAAGAACTCTCCTTTACTTGAAATCCACATGTAGCTTAGAGAAGTCTTGAGGCTATGGTAGGTTTCATGCTTCATGGAAGGCAACATAAACAATTACAGGATCTCCTGGTCATGAATTTTATGACACAGGCAATAGAAAATAGTAAACGCAATTGTAGTAATGCCATGACAGGTCTAAGCCTAGCAATGGTGGAAACAAAAAATAAATGGAAATTCTGTTTAATCTGTCTTTGCCTGTTGGTGTTTACTACACATACACAAATGATCAGCATGCTTTTAAAATGTTTCCTCTTTTCTAGACCTATGCACTATACATGAATACGGTATACATACATGTATATGTATATAAATAAATGTCTATATATCTATGTGAATGTCTATGCATACATACATAAATGCCTGTGTATGAACAGTTGGAGTATTTCTGACATCATGTACAAGCAGCAATGTTCATCAGTGTTAACAGCATTTATTTTTGGGAAGTGGGACACAACACCAGAACAAAAGGATGCCTTGACTTTGGATGTGATACTCATCTGTGGCAGTAAAACATTTTATAAACTCATCTGTGGCAGTAAAACATTTTATAAAAAGCATCTGCCATTTTAATAACAAAAACCCCCTAAATATTAATAAAATTGACATGTAATAAAATGAAGATGCTGTGTCATGTTTTAAGCCATGAATAATATGAGGGTTCTAGTAAATAAATAAATTTTAGGAATTCATTAGGCAAAGGGACTCTCACTAGATCCAAATGAAAATGAAGTGATGCTGAGTAGCTCCTAGCACAGGCAGATCTGCCAAAGCGGCCATTCTGAACGGATATGGAGCAACAGGTATGTGTGACTTTCGACCAGTCATTACTAATTTCATCACTGTGCATTTGCCAGCTAAATTCTGTTTCAAAAATTGCATTGGTTTTTGGTTATCACATCTACAGAGGAAAAAAACTCTCAAAGCAAAATTCCTAGTCATGGTATTTATTTCATTGTTGGCTTACTAATCATCTCTCTTATTCTTTATAAAGTCCATGAATATGATAAACACAGTTTAACTGTGTTCTATTTTGTTAAATGCACAATATTAAAATATAAGCTTGCAAACATGACTACCTTTCAGGTTACAGAATGTTGTCTTTTAATAACTTTTAATTTTCCATTCTTCTATCAATCTCATCTAAAAATGGAATCCCAACACAAAGAAACAAACACAGAGGAGTCAGCTAAGCTGTCTCTTGCAGCACTGTCTCAGTAGTCTTTGTAGAAATGATATTTCTATGGGCACATCTTTTTATGTCTGTTAAAGTTATGTGGCTCTTCAGACCAGGACTAGACCACTTGCTTTTCTACTTCCTGATGCCCCATTAGAGGGGATACAATATACTTAAGCTGAGATGGAAACTCATAAGAGCTAGACCATAAGGTCTTAGCTCTTTCTAAAGCTCAGGGCCAATTTTTAAAAAATGCTACAAGAGGTGGTTTAATATTAAATCCATAACATATGTGGTTACTCTGCTCACTTTATTTTGGAAATTCCAAGTCCTAGCGTTACTTGCTTTTTTCAAAGAGATATGTCAAATATCGGTCTCCACAAATAATATAGAACTCTAATGCCTTTTAAAAAAAAACAATTTCCAGATGCATCAGAGATCTTATAGTACTAACTCATCATTTTTCATGCCACAGATTTATGTCCTCAATTGGAGCTATTTAAATTGGCCCATTGCCACCTATACCCTAAATTTTCTCTGGGCTACTTGGAAGCATTCACAGAGAAATGTGAGACGGCAGTTGAGGAAAACAGAGTTCTTCATCCCAGCAGTAATAACTAGGTAACTGACTGCTTGGCCAAATGTTTGGCTCAATCCAGGGAATGGAAGATGCCATTCAAAGCCAGGTTCCAGTCTGTCTTAAGGATCATATTTCTGTCATCACATTTCCTTGACAGTTCCACCAACTAAAAATCTCCCAGCAGAAGTCCAGTGATTAAATTATCCTGGAGTATATTTTTGTGGCTTCTGGAAACAATCTGCTGCAGTCCCTCCTGTAATATCCAAAAGATAGTTCCATTTCTGAGGCTGATAAATGGACGTAGATCATTCACCACCCAATCCATCTTCCCACCAACAATCTGATTTTGAAATGACTACGGAGAGACTACGGTAATAGAATCCCCATCCACTGAAAGGCTGTTCCTATTTAACATGGTACATCATAGCCGTACTTTCAAAATGATGATATGTGACTGAAATGTGACTCAGATAAGCAAAATGTCACCATTAGACCTTTAAATTAAATGTAGAGACACCATCATTCATCATCAAATGCAGAAACAGTAGGGAAGCACTTTGCTGTGTCCAAGGACAAAATGGAAATAAGCTCAGGAGACATCAGATTTCACCAAAGCAGAACCCTTGGACACCCACTTTTATTTTTGACTTACCCCCAAGTCAAGTAGATATTTGGACAGAAAGTTAGACAGACATTTTCTTCTGATATTTTAGGTATCACGGAGTCCCTAATAGAAGTACCTGTAAGTACCATTCGATCTGTGGCAGGTTTAGATGTTGTAGTTCTAACTATCTGAAAGACATTTCTGGCTAGATTCCCACAGTGGTTTGCACTAAGGACTTTCTGAAAGGGGAAAATAAAGTAGGTAAAATAATTAATATTAGAGAACCCCATACATAGAAAATGGGGTTATCAAGTACAACCTTTGGGCCTGACAAATAATAGTTGAAGTATCCTTCTGAATTATCCGGGCATTCCATAAATCTGGCATTGGAACTCATACAACGAGCTTTTGTCCTAGAGTCAAGAATTCCTTGGAGTAATGAAAACCAAAAACCTAAATGAAAAACCTAAAATGGGGTCCCTCTCACCACTGTATCCAACAGTCTATAGTTGTTAGCCTCTGTGCAACATTCCAATGGCTCTTCTCTACTTCAGTGACATATGTTGACATATGTTGCTACTTTTGCTTTTGCTGTTTTTTTTTTTTTTTTTCCAAGTCAATTAGGCTGCTTTCTATTATCACTCAACAAAGCTTGGAAGCATTGTTAGAGTGCTCCATTTCCCGGAACCACAGTTCCCACACATGACTTTCTCCTGGGCAATTTAAACAGCGCTTAAAATTGAATGGTTCTGCAGACTAGCTGTGGACCTCTGTTTAATCCTTTGCTCATCTTCTATTGCAGCAAAAGGCAAAGATGGCTACACATAGGCAGTACGGAGCTGTACAGACAGCCCAAGCTGAACCAGTCCTGCATGGCTATTGGCTACAGCCCAGCAGCCTGGGCTGACCCCTGGGTTACCTCTCTGAGGTACCTCCAAGCACAGACATCTCCCATGCCACCTCACCATTCCTCAGAGATACAGCACACAAGTTGACATTATCCACGTGGCACTTCCCAGCTCCTATATAATGAAACGGGGGGGTGGGGGGGGGGGGGAGGACATGCAGAGTCACTAAATAGTCTTGACATATTTAGTCTTGGAAATTGAAGTGGTTTTACAGTTGTATTTCTGCAGGACATTCAGAGGATTTTAGAAGGCCTTCAGACAATCTTGTGGTCTTCCAAGATTGAATGTAAAGAGAAGAGATAATATATTTTTTAAGTTGATAGGTAGTTACAGTAGAATTGTATGGTACAGGGGAAAAAAAATCAATGCATAGGGGGAGGAGGGAGCAGTGCCATTTATACAAACATCCTTTGAATCTTTAAAATAAATTATACAGGTAAACACAGAAGTTCATGCTACTTGCTGGAAGCAATAAGGATCAAATTTTGTGGAACTCGCACTGTATTCCACAAATCTCCAGGTATCCTGCCTCCTTCTCAATGGGCTATCATGTTCTGTTGTACATCTTGGTAGCCCTTAAAAACTAGTGGCATGGTCTCAGGTAGATCCTTGCAGGAGAGAGACAGATATATGAATTCCATCAGCTTCTTCCAGGGTAGCTGCCCGATCGCAGGGAGGGCAGATGTGATACGCTTGCTCACGTTCTCTTTGCCCAAATACCAGGGTCAAACAGCAGTTTCCAGGTCCTCATGGCCAATGATCTTATAGTTCTGACGGCTTTCTAGGTAAGCAGCCAACTCTGGGTCCCCAGCCTGCTGTGCTCTCTCTTGAGGTGTCTTACCCTATACGTAAATAGTGAGAAGGAAAGAGATACAAGCGCTGGTTGTGAAATACAAAACCAAAAAAAAAAAAAAACCCACAGAAATCACAGAAACAGAGCTACCCAAAGATACTTGCTAGTAAGGATTCTTTCACATTTTGTGTTTTAGAGTTTACAAGACACTTTCAAATCTCTCGTCTTATATGAGCATTAAATTAAAATGTGTGACTGATTGGTAAATCAAAGGGAAAGAGTTTATCACTTTTGATGTGTGGGGTTTATACTAGAGAAACAGAAGTTCACAGAGGTTAACAGTATACAGGAGGAAACAGTTGGGTAAAGTGAGTTTTAAAACACAGAGCCTTTCTGGAACATGGGGAGATAGAAATTACTGAATTTAAAAAATAAGGAGGCAGGCATTTAGATTTCTAGTTTAGGACTCTTGCTATTATTCTAAACGTGGGAAATCAACATTCAGAAATTAAAAGAAAGTGATAGCCAGAAAAAATTGAAAGGTTTTCTTTGTGGGTTTCAAAGACTTCAGTTAAGTTCTCCACAATTTATAGCATTTCATCTCTTTAAAAACTAAGCTAGTTTCTCAACACAAAAGTGGTAGATATTGATTAAAGAAATCTTGGGAAAGTTGAAAAGCACAAAGAAGAAAAGGAATATCTCTATCATTCCACCAAACTAAGATAACCGTTATTAACCTTTCATTGATAACTAGGTTTTGTCTTTTATATGCCTCTATACATATTTTTTATAAAAACAAAACCACAATTCATTTACTTACTGTTTTACAACCTTTCTTAGTAATATATCATAAATTTTTGTCATTACATTCTTTACATCAACATCTTAAATGATCACATAATTTCTTATAGGCTACTATAATACCTTTTGTACATTTGTATATACACGTATACACGCATTTGCATATATATTGATATTTTTTCATTGAGGCCATTGAATAAGAAGTCAGCAGTAAAGAGGAAAAGGTGTCCATTCTTTTGCATGCCTGTAGGTATTACTTAGAATTCCTCAAAATTTCTAATTTTTGTTCAATGGATATAGCTTTAACTATTTAAAAAGTTATATTAAGTTCTAAAGGAAGAGTATAGGCATGATCATTGTGCCAAAGAAATAGCTCCATGTTCATATGCACGTGAGTTTGATAAATATCACAGACTTCTCAGCTGTCATCTCAGCTATCCCAACAGATACTGGTGACCTCAATCCAACCTGCTCTACATAGCCTACTGGGGACAGGATAAAAGGGAATTACCGACGGCTCTAGAATCTTTCTAAAATTTTATTTATTTGTGATTTAGCAGTTCACCACCAGCTTGAAGTTCCTATAATAATTTTGATTCAACTTGTTTGCAGTCTTAGTAGACAATTGTGTCTTTACTTCAATAATAATGAGGTTGGAATTTCCAGCTTCCAAATATTCAGAGAGATGGCTGAAGTGGGCCTTTGAGTTGATCCCTAAGGAAGTGATCTCTAATAGGAGATCTCAGCATCTCATAGGCTGCGTCTCAGGATGCTGCTTCTCTTCAAAAAATTCCAGAAGATTCAGTTGTAATTATCACATTCAACTTTAAACTAGCATCCAGTTACAGAATGACAGAATTTTAAAAATCCTTAAAAAGTAATGAAGTATAGTTATATTATTTCCTATGGTAAGATCTCTAGAATAATAACGTTGAGTGAAAAGTTATATGATATCATGTATGTATGATTTCATCTAGTTAAAAAAAAAACAGCAAGAGAGAAAAATAGGCATATCTACATGTGAAGAGGGAGCATTCAAAGTTTAATGATATTTAGGTCTAGGTTGTGAGGTTGCCAGCAATTGTTTGCTTTTGGAGGCATATCTTCCTACATTACTGGTTTTCTATGTGATGGTTTATAATTATAAAAATAAGTTACTTGTACTTAAAAAGAAAAAGCAGACACATACACAACACAAAATAGAAAGACGTTTCCATGAACACTGAGTCCTTTATCTGATTCAGAAACTTAGAAAGATAAAAAAGCAGACCTGCTCAAGAGCCAGGTCTCCTGATTCCTGTTTGATTTGTCCCTCTTTTTCACGGCTTCTCTTTTTTTTAAAAAATGATCTGAGTTGACTGTAGGACCAGCCTTTATATGGTAAAGAGGCATTTGCCCTGCTGTTGTCTGAGTGGTCCCAACAAGGCCAGCCACACTCCGTAACCTGGCTCCATTAATCTTGACTGCATGGTGTGTGTTTCTCAATCAGGTTAAACATCAAAACATCTGAGTACAAATAACATCTGAGAAGAACATCACACTGAAAAAAGTATTAACTTTTACTGGCAGAAACTACAATTACTTTTGCACCAACCTAATATCTGCCATTTGAAATAACGTACCAAATTAGCTAGCTGGACAGGTAACAGACCACTAGAAACCAGGACACAGCTCAAGTGTGTTTGAGATGCCTAGACAGCCAGAAAGCAAGAGTGCTGGCGAGTTTCCAGGGAAGTAGAGAGCTCTATACAACACAACTGGCTCAGAAAGGAAAGAGACCCACTTGGGAGGCAAAGTTACTTCATAAAGCAGACTACAGATTGAGGAGGCCCCAGGGAAAACATAGCACATAGGCAGATTCTTATCACTTAAATAAATCTAATGGAGCTTAAGCCATTAATTAGGCTTCTAAGTCATTGAGCTATGTGTCATGGTTACAATCATCGGCCCAACACCTGAGCTACTCGGTACCTGCTTAATGAAGGGCTCATCTACATATTAAGATTCTTCTCTGCGACTGTCTACAGTTAAGTGGTTCACTCTTTTTTGGAATCTACCGAGAGTGTTGTAAAACTCTCAGAGCGTATCAGAATCCTCTATGGCAAGCTTGTCCAACCCGCAGCCTGCAAGCCACACGCAGCCCAGGTGGCTTTGAATGAGGTTCAACATAAATTCGTAAACTTTCAAATCATAAGATTTTCTTTTTTTCTTTCTTTTTTTTTTTTTTTGTGTGTGTGATTTTTGTTTTTTCAGCTCATCAGCTATTGTTAGTGTTAATGTATTCCATGTGCGGCCCTAGACAATTCTTCTTCCAGTGAGGCCCAGGGAAGCCAAAAGATTGGACACCCCTGCTGTATGGGGTTGCTCTTCTATGTAAACTAACTCCTGTCTCTCTCTCTCTTCTTTCTTATAGGCTGAGCCCTGGGTCAACTCTGCTAAGTTACAACTCTTCCTTTCCTCGATCTTTCAACCCTTTCTCTTGGGTGTGCTCTACAAATTGAAACAGCTCATGGTGCAGCCTGTTTTCAGTTCTAAACAGTTTCCCCTGAGGCCTCACCTCCATCTGCTGATGCTATCAAGGTTGGCACACATGCCACACTACCCATTTCTGGCCTCACCACCCGGTTATTAAGATAGTTGCACACTTTAAGTCCAGATTTACATAACGTTTGCCGTGAAGAAACCAACCACATTTCAAGCCACAGGGCCACAGGTATCACTGTACCTCAACAAAACAGATTCTATAAACAAACCGATTTTGTTACGTGGCTAGGGTGTTCTGGCAACAAATGAGAACCACCAACCTGCTGATACAACACTGGGCTGGATCTCAAAAGAGCTCAATTTAATTTAAGGCTCAGCTACTGATCCAAGGGTATGTGTAACTTTCTCTAGGTTTTTTGCTCCTATACCTATAAATGACAGTAATTCCCATGCTATCTAATTTCTAAGGTCAACTTTTAGAGAATAATATTAGAAAACAAATGGAAAGAAATTTTTTAAAATGAAGAACCACATAAGCACACCAGATTTAAGATTGTAACCATATCAAAGCCAAATCCCACCATCCTGGGAGCTGGGAAGTAATCTGTTTGGCATCCACATAAGGGGCCATATAAATCGTAGAATTTAAACCACATTGGAGTAAGTACTGAAGGAAAACCCCAAATGGGCTTCTCAGTAGCCAGGCCAAAGTCTTTGAACATGGTCCGGACCCCTCTCCTTGGGCTTTGGACCTCCACTCCCTGACTTGGCTGCTAGCGTTCAGCAGGACAACCCCAAAGTCCCAAGGCCAACATGTTCAGAGGTTTATAAAGCCCCATAGGCAAGCACACGCCCTCCCTTTGTGCTTATACATTTAAATCACAGTTTCTCTAAATGAAGCACTCTATTTTTTCCTCCTTTTTCCAAATCCCCAGGCACTTCCATAAGCACAGAAAGGATGTCCGTGCTATGGTCACAAGCAAAGGCAACAGTGTCTTCCATCTCGCCCAGTGGGAGGATGTTTGCACTCACTCATCGAGTTACCTTGGAGTCCGTCTTTCTCAGAGATGCTCCTGCATCCACCAGAAGCTGGCACACAGCCCGGTTCCGCTGGCAGGCAGCCTTGTGCAGTGCAGTCTCACCCCTAAATCAAAGATGAAATTGAAAACCACCCATAAAGGGGCTGCAGGCAGCAGGGAGTGGGGTGAGGGGAGCTTATGTCGGGTGCTCCTCAATCTCCTCCCCTATAGGCTGCTGAGACCTTGCCTGTAGGGTACATTCTGGGGACTCGGGAAGGGGATTTCTAAAAATTCCTTGAGCTAGTCATCACCTGATCCTAATATCTGACTCCAGTCCCCTTTCGAAACAGTTTTGGTTAACCAGGCTTAGTAATTCTTTTTAAAAAAACTACTACTATTTGATTTAGGTTACAGTCAATGCAGTATTAAACAGACCAATTGTGTAGATGTAGCTGAACACTGGGTATCATTCTCTCTGTTCATACATTTGAGAACAGTGAGAAGGGCACTGGGTGAAGGAACAGGGAGCAGTGTGGAGTGCCTCTGGCCCTTCAGGCACAGCATGCAGCCCTTGGTTGATGGCCACTCAGCCTGCAGAGGAATATCTCCTGAGAACCCAAGTTGTTCAAAGAGCCAGGCCAACACCCACTCTGCTCTATCCACTTTAGATTCTGTGTGAGTGGCAGGTGGAAGGAGGGGGCAGCCACAGAGGATATCTGAGAGGCACAGTGAGACTCTGGGAGAGTTTGAGAGCCAGAGCTCTCCCCAGGAGGCAGCAGGCCTGAGGCCAGCCACTCAGTGTGGGAAGGGGCAAGGGAAACTGGCTATTTCCCCATCACTGACAGGCTGTATAGGGGGGAGGATATTCCTATACTGAGCCCAAAGTCACCAAGACGCTAAATGCCAAAGTGTTTCAGGAAAAGTCATAGCAGCCCTTAGAGAAGGCAAAAGAGGGTAAGTGATGGCACCACTTATAATCTTGTCAATAAGAGGTGCTGGCCTGTGGACCAGCTTTATGGAGCAATAGACAGCTTCTTCCATGTATACTAACTCACGGTTCTACTGCTTCTCATCCATTCTCCATTCTATTCATTTCTACTTCTCCTCCTTCCTGTGTGCTTAGCTACTCACCACCTCATTCCTCTCCCCACCAACTCATCTTGACACCTTTTCAAATATGGCTTTCAGGATTAGCTGTACAGCCTATCTTTGCTCCTCTTTGTTCCTCTAAATAAGAAGCAGTAGCTATTTCGCTGCTTTAAAAATAAGGTTGAAAACAAACATTATTATCAGTTTAGGCACCATCTCAGAGTGGATGACGTTTTCAATTAGGATCCCTTCTCTGAATCACAGAAGACAGAAAATGCAGTCACTACGTTCTTAGTTCTTCAGTGGTGGTTCATAACTTGTCTTGTTCTACACTAACAGAGAAGAGTTATGTCATTACATGTGAAGAATTCCTTAGGGCAGTAGGGCCCCATTTTCTCAGAAACCCAAGTTAGGAAAGAATAAATGTGATAAGTATATTAAAAGGTAAGTGTAATTATTTAGGCTTCTCAGCATTCCAAGATGTACCAGTATAGAAGTACAATGCTTGAAGCAAGTTCTAAATGATTACCATTGACTATGGAGGCAAGCATTATGACAATTGTCATCAATTTGTATTGTGTAATTTTTTATTTAGGCAATTAGCCCTGCACAGTTATGAACAGTTGAAAGTGGACTTTGAATTAAACTAAAATTACCTATGACATGCTCTATAGATTAAATTATTCTCCCAGATATGCTCTGAAGAAAATAATCTAGACTATATAATAAAAGGCAACACTCACGTTTCACTGTCTGCCATATCCAATAACTCAGAAGGACCTAAATAAGAAGAAAGCAAGGTGGCCATAAATAATAAGCTCAAGAACTAAACATTATCAGAAAATCTATAGTCACAGAATTAAAATGGCTTGCAAAGCTGTATTTGGGGACAGGAATAATAAGACAAAAAGAAAAAATAAAAGGATCCCTCTACCTCCTTGTCACCAAACTCCCAATCTTCATGAGCCAATATGTACAGAATGGTAGATAGAAAAGAATGGTATGGTCTCTGCTTCAAGAAGCTTTCAATCAAGTTTAAGAAATAAAACTGGAATATAATAACTGAAAAATAATTAAGTGGCTAACTAGGAAGAAAGGGGCAAGTCAGGTGGCCTTTAAGAACCAGGGCTATTTCTCATTCTCTAACAAGTTGCTTGGGATGGTGTTTTATGAAGCATAATATTAAGACTGTAAGGCACTATACGTATCATCCAGAGTACAATTCCACTTTTTTAAAAATTTCCCTTCCCAGATCAGAAAGAAATAGTATGCACACACATCCAGTGACTGTAGAAGCATCCTTAGGAATGGAAAAATTGTGTGATTTGCCCCCTTCACAATGTTTTAGGCGTTCACGAATCAATCCATTCAGTCTGCAAACACTGTTTGGAGTGTCCATCTGTCTAGCTCTGTACCACTGCTCCTCTCCTTGCCATCTCTTGCCTTCTTCAGCCCGTAGGTATCAGCAGAGACTTTTTTTCCCCACCATAAAGGCCTTTATGATCCCATTTCAAACAGTTTATTAAACATCTGCCTATACAATCCTCACTTTATGTACTGACCCTATTTCCTATAGTTGAATGAGTAATGACATTTATCATCCAAGTTGGGACCATCCCAGGCAAGGGGGGGATATATGATCATGTTACTGATCATAACATTTATCAAAGTATTTTTAAATAACCTGATTTATCTCTCCCCGTAACCAGACTTTAGAAAACCCCTTAAAGTTTTGGCCCATGCTTTGTCTAGCATTGTGTCATTCCTTGTTGCCTACTATAGAGCCTGGAGCTAAGGAGATGCTTAAATATTTGGTTGCATGGATGAATAAATACACTTGTAAGTGCCAAACACAGTTCTAGGTATTGAGTATTTTAGTCTTTAGAAAGACGATCCACGATCCTGGGGATTTGCTCTCTTTATTGGTGGATATCATTATTATTAACAATGAACTTACTGTGCGTAGTAAGGAGGGGAAGAAGAGGTGATGACTCTCACCCTAAAGTTCATTGGCCAAGGAGAATATAACAGAGATGTTATGGGATTTCCCAATTCTACTGGTTATCCAGATCATCTTGACTTCCTCTCTTTCACACCTGCTATTCACTGGGACCAGGCGAATCTTCTCTGGCAAAGTCTCTCTTATTTTGTCTTTTCTGTTTGTCCTATTTGACAAATACACTTCCTAGCCAGTATCTGCCTGGAACATTATTAGCATGCAGAAGTAGTTACCAAGAAAGATAAGAAGGTCTTCTATCATCTAGATTTCTAGGTTTTCAGTATAGCATATCTACTGCTTACTCCCAAGTATTTAAACACTGGAGCTCACAGTCTTTCATCTGGAACTAAAGTGGTAACTACACACTCAACCATGAACTTCTCAGGCTTTCCCAGGTCTCCCTATCCATAATAGCCTCATATCTAAATCTGACATGTTCTTTAAAAGCTAGTCTGTGACAAGGTCCTCTGAAAAGATGACCTTTGACAGGAGGAATCTATTCTTTCTCTCAACTCCTAAAGCACTTATTCGGTTCTACCCTCATACTATGTATTCACTTTTTGAGTTCATGCCTTCCATAAATAAATTATTGTGTATCTGTTGAATATAAGAACACCTTAATTATTTTTTGTATCCCTCTATCACCTACCCCATATTAAGGAAACAAGAAAAATTAACTCATTCCTCTTTGTTCCTTGGTGCTGTGATTCTAAGATAAAATGAATAATTATCTTCATCCTCCCACATACCCAAAATGCAAAGCAGCAAAGGGCAGTGATTAGGAGTGAGGTTTCTGGAGCTGCCCCTTCTTGGTTAAAAGTCCCTGTTCTACTACAGACTAGGTCTTTGGCAAGTCTAATTAATCTTTCAGCCCCTTCGTTATCACATATATAAAGTCAAATTAATAATAATATTTATCTCACAGGTGGTTGTAAGAGTTCAAGAGGGCCAGGCACAGTGGCTCATGCCTGTAATCCCAGCATTTTGGGAGGCCAAGGCAGGTGGATCATTTGAGGTCAGGAGTTCAAGACCAGCCTGACCAACATGGTGAAACCCCATCTCTACTAAAAATGCAAAAATTAGCCAGGCATGGTGGCACGCACCTACAATCCCAGCTTCTCAGGAGGCTGAAGCAGGAGAATCGCTTAAACCCAGAAGGTTAAGGTTGCAGTGAGCCGAGATTGTGCCACTGCACTCCAGCCTGGGCGACAGAGTAAGACTCTGCCTCAAAAAAAAAAAAAAAAAAAAGGAGTCAATACACATAGTGTGCTTAAAACAGTGCCTGCCACACCACAGGTACTGCTTCAGCTTTAGATAGCATAAAGTGTCCTATTCTCTGTCCTCTCTGTCCTGAAACAGCACGTCACACTATGTCAAGATACGGGAATATCAGTGAAGGATGGTGATGTGAAAGGGTTGCATTACTCCCACTTACATGTGAAGCTACTTGTTGACTCCAATTTTGTGTCCTGAGAACCAAGCACCTCAGGCCTGTTTAGCTGCCAACAGGGTACTCTTCACAATGTCAACAAGGGGCTTAAGCACCCAATGGTCCTCTTAAAGAGTGCCTGCTACCTTCAGCGAAGATTCTAAGCCACTCATTTTGAAAGGAATTCCATGAACATGAGTAGCCTGAACTCATTAGTAGCTCTGTTCCCATTGGTACTGCTAATTGCACAACTATTTAGGCAACAGAGGCCTTGTTTACTTTTCCCCTTCATTCAGCACTGTCATTCGGTGCCTTCAGAAAAGTGCCATGGTGGGTCCACGGTCCTCCAGAGTCTGAGTCTCTATGCACGTGAGGGGATCCTGAAGCATTTTAATTGGGCTAGCATAGCAATAATTCACAATATGAAGATGGGGACAAGGAAGAGAACTATTCTTCACAATTTCTGACCAGAATCACTACAAATGTAGCCAACCCATAATTACTCCAGAGGTGATTATCCAGTCTGTGAGTCAGGCATGCCTGCGGCTACCCATCACTCTCTCTCCCTCTGCACCCTTTCATCCTCTGCAGCTGACAGAGGTGAGAAGCAGAGGCACTAATACTAAGGCAAGAAACTTTTGCTCTTAATTAATATCTTAAAAAATGCCAATTAAAGGGTTTTGAGAATGGCTCTGAAATAATCAATTTAATTAACTTCAACTTTCCTTATTCTCCCATCAACATAGATAATCACAAAATAGCAGAACATTTTGAACACTGGCCAGGAAGAGGCAAAAGCAGCAGCCAGCTGACTACAGCTGGGAACGGGCAGCTATTTTTAACAGTACAGGTACATTTTCCAATCATTTTTTAGCGCACTTTAAACTGACTGCATAATGCTAGCAAGGAAGGGGCTACAGAAAGTGGATGCCAGGAGAGGCCTAAGACAAGGCTGTTCTTCTCCTTATTTGAACTTGCACTTCCCAGTAGGGAGCTGTGCTTTAACTGTACAATGTGGAGTTTAACTGCACCCTGTGGCTTTTAGTGTATAAACAATAACACCTGTGATTTCTGGAAAGTTAATGTGAGTCTCACTAAAAAAGGAAAAGAGAGAAAAGGAGAAAAACAAGAGAGGAAAAAATAAAGACTAGTCAGGCACGTTGGTTCATGCCTGTAATCCCAGAATTCTGGGAGAGCCGGGTGAGAGGGCTATTTGAGCCCAGGAGTTCAAGACCAGCCAGGGTAACATAGCGAGACCCTAACTCTACAAAAAAAATTTTAAAAATTAGCTGGGAGTGGCAATACATGCCTGTAGTCCCAGCTACTCGGGAGGATAAGGAGGGAAGATTCCTTGAGCCCAGGAGATCAAAGTTACAGTGAGCCATAACTGCACCACTGCATTCCAGCCTGGGTGACAGAGCGAGATCCTGTCTCAAAAAGAGTAAAATAAAAAAAAGACAATTGAATTCCTTCAATGTATGTGAAAGGGTAACATCTGGGTTTTGGGCTTGTTTTATATACACATACATTCTGATTGCCAACACTATGCCTCTCCCCTAAGGAATTTCAAAGGAGACCATCAAACTGTCAGCAGATAATTCACTATTGTTTCCTCAGTAGAGAAGGAAACCTCAGGCCTCTGCCTCTTTCAGGGTTTACTAAAATGTCCACTCTTCATCCCTTGGCTGACCTGCACCAGAAAAAATACTGTAAAAATCCCTATTGAGGAGATATGGGTGCAGATTTCTCCCGGAAAATTTCAGATGAAAATGTCCGCTGCTCTTCCAGAAACCTAGACCAGTTGGCACTTGAACTCTGCTTATGACACTCACAGGGCCCCACCCTGCATTGTGGTTATCTATCCATGTTTCATTTCCCCTGCTGGTATTAGGAATATGGAGGACCCAGACCATCTCTCACATATGGATGAGTTTTGGCAAGTCACCTAACTCCACCATGCTTCCGTTTTCAACACCTGTCAAATAGAAGTGAGAGTTTACTGCATAGGGTTGTAAAAATTAAATATGAGAATGCATTTAAAACACTAAGAACAATAGAGGTTAGTGGTGATTGTTACAGATAGTTTTTTTTTTTTTCCTTAAAAGTTCCCAGGACAGAATTAAAATGTTTTCATGAATGAATGAATGAATGAATAAAAGACATTTTAAAAGCATTTTGGATCCCAGCCAATATCACTTCGAGAGAAAGATTCATAATTGAAACATGGATTCAAAAGACTGTGTATATGGGGATGGTCTGAAAATTAAGGGAAAGAAAATTCTGTTAAGTGGACATACACATCAGTATTCAGGAGAAGCCCAGGGAATACGAAAGGAAGCAAAACTTCACAAATCTTTCAAAACAAGAAAGTGAACATCGTGTTAAGTAGCCAGGCCTTCCAAATTACAATGTTGCTGCCCAGTACTCATTCCATAGGCTCTTCTGTTGGATACCCCAGCTCCTGCTATGTGACTTTGTCATCAACATTATATTTGTAGTATATATGACGTGCCTTTTGTCACATGCATCCTTTAATTTGCTTCCCACACCAATGCCTCCGAATCCCCTTTGCTATTCCTTCCATTTCCCATGGCCTCTCTCTGGGCCCTCATTTCCCATTAGTCTCCCTGACGCTGCCAGCAGACCATTCCAAATCCTCCCCTGCCACAGGACAAAAGCTGCACAGATGTGGGGAGAGCTGGCACTGGGAATGCTAACAGCACTGTCATCCTGTCCCAGCAGGATGGTGGTCGGTTCTCTCTGGGACCAGAGGCAGAAAAAGGAGGGTTAAAAAAAGAGAAAAGAAAGACTGAAGACAGAAAAAGAGGGAAGACAAAATAACCCATTGAAATCAAAAAGGAAATGCATGAGTGAGATTTCTATCAGGAAAACCAGTAGGGGGCAATGCGGTAGGCGTGGGGAGAATGAAAACAAAAGAGCAGAGTGTGCAGGGTGGCAAAGGAAAGAAACAACACAAAAGTCCCTTGGAGGGGCAAATCAGGGGGGAGGGAGCGGGCAGAAAATATGGTTGAAAGGAGCTGAAAAGCGGGAACCACCGAGAGGAATCTCAGCTGGAATCCCTGCATCCTTAGTTTCTCTCCCAGTCTCTGTGGAATTGTTAGCTCTTCCTCCCTGAGTCTCTTTTCAACTCTCTAAATGTCCAAATTCCAGTTTTTCATAAAGGAAAGCAGCATGCTGTATACATGAGAGAGGACATCCAAAGGAAGAAGATGCAAGCTGAAAAAAAATTCAAGGTTCCCATGGTGCTTTCAGAACACACCGCACACTCCTGTTGCACAGCCCCCAGACTGCTTTAAAAGAGCCCACAGAAGAGAAATCAACTGCTGCTTGTTGTGTCTGGGAGAATAACTAATCTCAGGACTCTTATTCAGGTCTCCTCTTGATGGTGGCCCACACTCCTGACCAGGGCCAATGAAGAAGAGGGCAGAGCAGAGGGGAGAGGGGCTCAGGAGTCAGGCTGCGGGAAGCAAATGAAGTGTGAACTCAAGAGCCACAAACAACATCAGTTGTGCACCTAGAGAAGAGCCCATGGATCCAGCAGAACTGCAATTACTAAAGGCATCCTTACAGTCAAGTCTGAACACCTTTTCAGATTTCTGTTGTATGAAACCACAGGACAGACATAAACCAAATCGTAAAAAATACGTAAATAAATAAACAAAGGCTTTGAGAGATTTGCAATATTCAGTAACCAGGAGGAATGTCTTTCTTGATCTTTGGCAGAGTAAAAGTTTTATTATTTTTTTTTTCATTTACATGAATTCAAACTGATGAGACTTACCCACTGCAAATCTGATGCTAATTTAAAACACAATGCCATAATCTGGCATATATCCCTAAATCCCAGACTTACTGAGACCTCTTGGAAAGGCTTTTTTTTTTTTTTTTTTTTTTTTTTTTTGGTCAGGTCAGGGTATTCCAGAGTTATCATCATTGTTAAGTTAGGAGATACTATTTCAATCAACAGAGATCACCTTAAGAAGGTGATGACAGTATAGAGAAAGGGTAGTGTTCTCTGTACTTGTCCCTGACTTCAAGAACCCTCTAATTTATAGGAGTTTCTATCATCTAAAAGACAGGAATGGTTTTGCTATGATAGTTTTCCATAAAATGCAACAGTTAATATAAACTGAATCAGCAACTAAAGATACTAAAAACAACAAACACAAGGACAGTTGAGCTGAAGTGTTTAGCTCTTGTGGCATGAAGTGAATTAGGCTATATCAAATGATTTTATATCCACATTTCTGAATAAATAAAAAATATAAGGTAGATGTCAGAATGAAATTGACAATGTCTATGAAGGCTGATAAAAACTAATTTCAATAAGAATCAATTGCATTTGAGTCTCCATCATTCATCTACCGTAGTAAAGTGTTAAAAAAATTGCCATCTATCAAAAATGCAGTGATCCTTGGACTGAACATCATAATAACATTTCATTTGGAAACAAAAGAGATGGATTGTGCTTTCCCATCTCCACAGTCTTTCTCCCTGTGTGATTAGAGAGGCTGGTGGGGCAGGAAGTATATACAATGCCTTCTGAGACCTCAGGAATTGTTTGCTTAGAAGTGAAGTTAGGATGATTACCATGACTATTGTGTTTCTTTTCGTGAGCATAAATATTAAGCCAATTAATTTATAACATCTAAGCAAAGCATTGGAAAAATAAGCACCCCAACCCCCTAAAAAAGATTGAATTCCTTTGTGTCCTTCCATTCGGGCAGAGTAGTATTGTGTGACTCAGTCTTTGCAAGAGACACTGCAGGTTGGTGAGAAACTACTGATTTGTATTGGAATGTCAGGTTTTGCTCAAGGCTCTCAGAGAGAGCCTGATGAATTCATGCCAGGTGAAGCAGGTGTATAATGATCTACATTTGGGGTTACAAACGCCAAGCCCTGTGAGTATGGATTAATGGTACTTTTAAGGACCCTATTTTTGGAGGCAGGGGAAAGAGAGGAAGTAGAAGAAACGAAAAGCCACTGTGTCCGGGTGATATCATCCCAGGCCTCATCATTCATGTCCCTAGGGCGGCTCAGATGAGGAGTTTTCCTGTTTTCATTTTTAGTGTAATCATATTTCAAATATTGCATGGGCTATACTTACGCTAAAAACTTCATTATTGTTATCATCTTTTTTTTTTTCTTCAAGGGACAAGGTGTGGCTCAGCTACCCAAGCTGCAGTGCAGTGGTACAATCCTAGCTCACTCAATCTTGACCTCCCAGGCTCAGGCAATCCTTCTGCCTCAGGCTCAAGTAGCTGGGACTATGGTCCCACCATGCCAGGCCATCTTGTATTTGTATTTGTGAAATCTGGATTCTTACGACCCAGAACTGAAGTAAAAATAGAAAAATAAAGTTCTAAGGGATTCCAGGTGAGTCAGACGTTCAGGACATTGTGAGAATGGTGTCATCACTTTAAACTGCAGAGAATGGGACACAGGGAGTGTGGTAGATTAAATATATCCATGAACTATTCACAGCTCCTGCCATCAAACAGTAGAATCTGTTTCCCAGCCTTTTAAGTCTGGGCTGACCTTGTGACTTGTTTTAACCAACAGAATGCAGTAGAGATCAAGCAGAACTTTCCAGCTTAGCTGCAGGACATCTGGCAGCTTCCAGTCTCACCTCTAGGAACCCTAGGACTACCATGCTGTGAAGAAGCTTGGAAAAAAAAAAGACCAGGTATTGAGAAGGCTTAGGTGTCCTGGCCTCCCAGCCATTCCAGCTGAAAGCCCCAAACATGTGAGATTCCACCTTCAATAAAGCCTCATCAAAACCAGGAGCTGACTACAGCCTCCTAATGAGACCAAGTGAGACAGTGGATACAGAGAGGATCCTAGGACTAGGGGAGGAAATACTGCTTCTCAAGGAAAGGTAAAAAGATGGGTGGGGGGCAGAGTGTGGAGAGAGAGATTCCTAGATTGTGCTGTCACTCAAATAGATGGCCAGTGTTCTCACCTAACTCCAGAGAGAGGGTAGGTGGGCACCAAATGGCTTAAGGTATCCAAGTAAGTATTCAATGTCTTGGGTAAAGGGCAAACTAAAGACAGTAGATTGAAAGTGATCAAGAAGACAGCAACTAGGAGAACTTTATGAGATGAAGAAAAAGAAAGTAACAGTATACATCTAACCCTCACCTGAGCTTTGTGCAGTAGAAATCCTGAGATATTTTCTTATTAAAGGAAAAATAACATAATAGCATTGTGGCTTCACTCTTGCCCAGAAAGGAGTGCTTTTAACTGCAAGAGATTAATTAGCCAGGGAAACAGGAGAAGGAATGATCATAAGCCCCAGACTTAGCACAAAAAATACATCCCACCTACCTAAGCTTTCCATGGCAGACAGGTTTGAAATTATCCAACCCACCCTGCAAGGAGTAAAGAAATCCTGTAACACAGCTATCCTGCTTTCATGGCTTTTCCTTTTTCTAACCCGCCCTTTTTACTGTATTTCAAACCAAGGGTTTAAGCATAATCTTCACAGTGAGAAGGTACTGAAGACAAAGCAAAGGAAGTCTAACGTGACTGATAATCTAGTACCTACTTTGCAAGGACCTTGTGAAGATCAAACGACAGGATGTGTTCACTATAAGCAATTGGCAAATATGTGCTTGATAAACGGTAACTATGTTATCTATTTGTGGCTTTACCATAGGACTGAACACAGCTCCATGTATCTGTTTTAAATTTAATTGTTCACACGATCATATTTTTTTCTTTAGCCGACAATTGCTTGAAAACAGTGACTGTATTTTATTTTTGTGTGTGTACCAGTCTAGAACAGGCAGTTCCTGTTAGGCACTACACAAATATTTGTTAAATGAATGAATCAATGAATGGAAGAAGACATACTTGCTGAATTGCATAAAAAGAGGAGCAAAAAGGATGTGAATGTTTACTAGTATGCTTACCATCTACAGGCTGAATTTAGGTATAAAAGGAGTCATACACAGGCTGTCAGGCTCAAAGAAACTTTTCCAATCTCTCTGTATACCAAAGTCCAGCAGAATTAGACTCTTTCATTCCTTCTTATTTAAAAACAGCCTAGCTAGGCAGTATTTTTTTCCTCTTTATTCCTGTTCTTTATTCCTAGAAATACTATGAAACATGAGAAATTGAATGTAACAGTTTAGATTTGGTATTCATCAAATATGTTTATGCTTCTTAAGGGTTTTTAGAGGCAGATGCTACAGTGCATGCTACTTTCTGCAAACAATCTAGCACCAAATTAGGAATCCAGTTAGAAAGCAGTCTGGAAGGTTAGTATGATCCGCCACAGACAACACAATAGTACCAGACATTTTCAAAGAGAATAAAGTGTAACTTGGGTTGAAAAGATAAATGAGATCAAACAGGAAAAAAAAATGAGAAACTAGAAAGATGGAAAAAATTATCCTCATTAATCCTCACAATGATGAACTACAAATATGGATTAGGTAGGCAATCCCAACCTGTTAATTTACAGAAGGACTCTAGAAAAAATAAAGTGCATGATGCCAGGCTGCATTTATTCTTGTCCCTTATTTTTAAAAAACTAATTAGTCTGAAAAATAGCCTGTAAAGAGCTTGGTATGAACATTGTTTCTATTAATTGCTTGGTTAGGATGGCCCATAGGTGTCAGTGGTCTGCAACCATGACTGCCTCAAATGAGCAGGGGAGCCGGCTAAACGTTTGAGAGTATTTCTGCCATCCTGAAGAGTGCCGGCATGAAGGGTATCTTAGAAAATGCAATGGATTTCACAGATAAGTGATCCTGGGTAGGTTCACTATGCCTACTCACCGTGGTCAAGGATATATTTCACAATCTCCCCGTTGCCGGTTTTAGCTGCGTGGTGAAGGAGTGAACAGTGGTCTGGTCCCTGAATTAGCAGACTGCCTCCATTTTTATAGCTTTCTATTAGCTGCAAGAGAGACATAACGGAAAGAAGCTCAGGCAGAATCCGGAACAAGGATAACAGCTAACTGGTAATAAAATAAGAGTCATGTAGCAAACCACAAATGTTTCTAGCCTCAGAGGACAGAGAGAAAAGTCAAAATGATGAAGTAACATTCCTGGACTGTGTTATCACTCACAGAGATGACCAGGGCCTCTTCTAACTCTGGAGAGAGTCTGTGGGTATTGAATAGGCTAGGGAAACTGAGTCATGGTGAATTACTTTTTTCATTTATTTTCTGAGCACTGGTCCCTATGGTCTCTGTCCCAAGAGAGTGAGGGTTGCAGTGGAGAACAAAAGCATCTTTATGTTGGCTTAGCATTCTCTCGAGTGAAGAGTAATTATGGCCATAAGCAGGAATAGATTGGTGACTGTAGCTAAGCTCCTTGCCTGTGTCCTTTAGTTTTTCTTTAGTCTCGTGAACCTAAGTACCAAATATCAAAGCGGCTTCTGTTTCTCCTGTGTAAGATCACTGCATACAAGTATAGACACATAAGCATGTATCGTGCACGCACACACATGAACACACGTCTGGCTTCCGTCTTCACCGAGATCTGCAGCCCAGCCTGCAAACCTTCTGTTAATCACCCAATATATACCTAACAGGCTAGAGATGATCTACAGAATGAGACCCAAAATGATTCAGAAAATGTAGTAGTTTCTACATGAGAGAAGACTGGAGAAGAAAACCAAAATTCTGTAGCCTGAGAATAAGGTGGCTAAATGAGGATATGGTCTAAGTTTATAAAATATTGAACAATACAGAAAAAGTGAATGGTCCCTCTTCTCCAAACTACAGTATATCAGGACAAGAGTGCCTGTGTGAAGCTTTTAATAGGTACTTTTAGGACAAAAGAGAATTAAATAACCCAGCAGGTAATAAGCAAAAGGAACACATTCTCTTTCAAGAAGTTAGATGGCACACATTATAGATAATCAAACATCCCATAAGGTGAAAGAGCATAAATGACATACATGCAAAGAATAAGTCCTAGTGTTCTATACCATTGTAGGATGACTCTAGTTAATAATATATTAAATCATTTTAAATAGTTAGAAGGAAGATGTTGAATGTACCCAACATCAAGAAATGATAAATGTGTGAGGTGTTGAATATGCTAATGACCCTGATCTGATCACTGTATATTATAGGTATCAAAACAGTGCTATGTACTCCATGATTATGTATAATCATTTGTCAATTAAAAATACTTTTTTTAAAAAAAGGAATGCAAATTCAGAGTTCACGTCTTCACTCAAATACATCCATAGAATTGTCATCGGCTAGACGCCAGGAATATAAATGTCAGTACAATTCAGTCACTGTGCTGAAAGCCCTCACAGCCCATCGGGGAGATGGACAGGTAAAGAATTACACTGTAATGGACAGAAACATCACAAAGTTCTCAGAGAAGTGCTAGGGAAGCATGAAGCAGGGGATAGAAACAGAGCCATGGAAGACCTCCCAGGACATGGATCAAAAGCAGTAAGTAGTTGAATGGAGTTAAAGAACATACGAGACTTTCATCCCTCAACTGGGGACCAGAAGGGCAGGAAGAAGTAGCCAACAATTTTCCACAAAAATCTAAATGGGAATCCTGTTCTATTCAACAGCATTGTCTTAAAATGACACTCCCTTTCTTTGTGGGGAGATTGACAAAGGATAGCGCATGGACCCAGCCAGACCCATTCAGGGTCAACTGCCTTGATCCTGCCTTCCTGTGCTGTTTCCTGACACCACGAACATGAAGTTGCTCCATGGGCATTTTTCACAGCCCAGTTGTCCAGGAGCTATTTGTGACAGTCTTCATACGAGGGCGGCTCCAGAGATGTTGTGTTCTCTAGTCTCTATCTCTCGCTCTCCTTCTCTTCCTCTCGCTCTCTCGTGCAAACACAAATGCATGTACCCCAGTTAATATTTAATAAATACTGTGCTTTCTACTCAGGAGAAAGAAGCAAAAGAAGGTAGAGAAGAGAAAGAAAGAGGGCACTAATATTTGAGAAGGGAAATTAAAGAAAATATGTAAGAAAGAAAAAGGAAAACCTTCAGCCCTCAGTAAATATTCCATCTCTCAGTAAATAAGGTGTTATTAAGTCATGTTTTAGTCATTTAGGAAAGAATTATAACAGAAAATGAATTAGAATGGTACAAAAATGCTTGCAGTTTCTGTCACTGAAATGACAAAAAAAATGAATTACTTTTGCACCAACCTATAATAAGACAACCAGCTGGATATAGTGATTTCCCACATTGCAAATGATTCTCTATTTAAAAGTATGAAGAAAAGTGTGATAATAAACTCAGGGTCCTGGGAAATCAGTTACCTAAACTAAGAGCATGCGGAAAATAAAATGGAAGGGTCTCAAATGTACAGTGCTTTGCAAAACTTTCTGCTGTAGAAACTCCCCACCCCTCAAGGGCAGGAATCAATTTTATTCATGCCTTTATTTCCCACAAAACCTAATAGAAGGCCTTGCATGGAGTACAGGAGGTATGGGCTTAATCCCACTGGTAAGAAACGGCACTGAACTCATCAACATAGTGTAATAAATTGCAATCTAGTGCAATGGTGCACTATGATTTGTGCGGTGGCACAGGTACCATTTTCAGGATTACGTACCTAAAGAAGGCAGTTGATCAAGATGTTTGCAACATTTTTACCATTTGTTTTCTTTCTAGTAACCTTTTGAAAAATGTAGCACTGGTGCCCTTCAGTTTGTCCAACAGATGTGCCCCACAAAAAAGTTATGTCTGGGGGTAGGACTTTTCAGCTTTCTCTTAGGGCCATTGGTTCCTTGATCTGCAATGGCACCTTACTCCACAGGCTGAGGAGTCAGGCGTAGCCTCTGCCTCCAGGCAGCTGTCATTATTATAACGCAGATCAGTTCCAGCAGGGGGTATGCAGGGGCATGTGGGCAGTCATGGGCCTAATGCCTGAAAATGATGTGGGACCAAACACAGCTTTAGAATATTCATAGATGATGTTATATTATATAACAAATATTTGTATTTCCATCATGTGTAGCTATTTAAAAATGCAGATCGACACTATCAGAATATTAATAAAATAGCTAACATTTTAGAGCCCCTTACATGGAATAGGAACAGTTCTGAGACCTTGATATGCATTATTACTTTTGCTCCTCATGACAAGCCAAAGAGAGAGCTAACAGTATTCCATTTTACTGATGAAGAAACTAAGGCAAAGAGAGAATAAAATAATTACACAAAATCACACAGACAGTGAATGACAGAGCCAAGATCTGAACTCAGAAAGTCTGACGTCAGATTTTTACATTCACCCTCAGGGCAGTGGTGACTGCTTCCTTCTTTCTGAACAAAATTCACCAGAAAACACAAGCACAAATTAAACTATTCCAGGTGGATCACACTGAGGGTCCTTGTTTGGCTATCATCCCCAAAGTATAAAACCATAACAAGGAAAGATTAATCTCTGGCCTGAAGAATGTATTTCTGAGTGTTGTCCAGGTAATTCTTACAGATACATTCATTTCAATACCTGCCTGAAAGGAAATCTTTAAATTCTTCAAATGTCAGCTTTTAGAGAGTAGGAATTCCTGGTACTGTGCACACTGCATCCTGGGACATGCAGTTCATTTTAAGTAACTGAGGCAAGTGCCCTGATGCTCTTGAACACCTCTTTGCTCAGTTCTCAAAAGAACTTCCTACTGCTTCCACTCAGCCAGTGCAGGCACTGGGATGATACATGATAGATGGGAACATAGAAATTTCGTGAGGAATTATGTTGACTTAAAGTTCTTAAGGAGTCACCAGAGATTTGGTAGAAAGATATCTTACCTTCATAAGATCACCAGCTATTACTGCCTGCAAAATTGCTGTGAAAGACAAAAGAAAGATGTCTCATTAGTAGAAGACCCTTTTGTTAAAATATCACAAAGTTGGATCCATATTTTGGACAAGTAGTCTACATTTGGGGTAGGAATTAGGGAAGGAAAATATCTTGGTCAAGCAGACTGAGGCCCTTCTCCACCCAGGTACCCATTTCATGCATCCTTCCAGAACCCATGTGTGCCCCCCTCCAGTCTTCTTACAGTAAATATTTAAAACATTGGAGGCACACATATTACAGTAAATATTTAAAACATTGGAGTCACACATATTGGGTTCAAATGTCAACTTTAAGCAGTAGGACACTGGGCAAATCATTTAACCCCTCTGAATCTCAGTTTCCACATTTGTAAAAGAGAAAGTTTAAACTTAGTAGGCTAGTTACAAGGGTGCATGAAGTCCTGTGACTGTTCCTAACCCAGCCACGGATACGGAGTAGGTGCCTAATCACGATTGCACTTGCTTCCTTCTTCTAGTTCCTTCTACTTTGCTCTCTTGGGATTTAAGCAGTCACTAGTCCTTTTGTGTTTTATGATAAATACCTATTGCTAGGAATATTAAGAGTACTGGAGACAGCAAAGAGGAATTAAGTCTATTTTAATTGTGTTCTCGAGAAAACAACCATGTGTTTGGCAATTAATTTACTGATGATTCTTATTAAAAAAAAAAAAAGGCTAAAGGTAATAGGTAACTTAAACTACTTTTAAGAATATGTAGCCTTAGCAAATCACACTGCCACGTGTGTACCTATGCAACAATCTTGCATGTTCTTCACATGTACCCCAAAACCTAAAATGCAATTTAAAAAAATAAATAAATAATATGTAGCCTTAGGGAAAAAAACAGACATATCTAATGATTCATGCATCTCATTCTCATGTGGGGTATAGAAAAGGAGTGAGAGGCTGGGTGCAGTGGCTCGAGCCTGTAATCCCAACACTTTGGGAGGTCGAGGCAGGTGGATCCTTTGAGGTCAGGAGTTCAAGACCAGCTTGGCCAACATGGTGAGACCCCATCTCTACTAAAAATACAAAAATTAGCTGGTGTGGTGGTGCACACCTGTAATACCAGCTACTTGGGAGGCTGAGGCAGGAAAATCACTTGAACCCAGGAGGCAGAGGTTGCAGTGAGCTGAGATGTGCCACCACTCTCCAGCCTGGGTGACACAGTGAGGCTCTGTCACAAAATGAATGAATGCATGAATGAGTGAGAAAATATGACAAAAGGGAAAAATAACATATGAGTGTCCAATGACAATTATGGTTCCTAAAGGAAACTATTTGCATCAGGTTGGAAATGGTCCTTTTAGAGAAATAAATATCTTGATTTTATAATTACATATATCTATTAAATTTTTCATTTTTATTTTAGATTCAGGGGGTGCATGTGCTGGTTTGTTATAAGGATATATTGCAAAATGCTGAGGTTTGAACTTCTATTGATCCCATCACCCAGAGAGTGAACATAGTACTTAACAGGAAGTTTTCAGCCTTTATCCCCATCCCCCTCTCCTTCTGGAGTTCTCAGTGTCTACTGTTCCCATCTTTATGTCCATGAGTACCCAAACTTTAGCTCCCACTTACAAGTAAGAACATGCAATACTTGGTTTTCTGTTTCTGCATTAGTTCACTTAGGATAATGGTCTTCAGCTACACCCACATTGTTACGAAGGACATGATTTCATTATTTTTTATATCCGTGTAGTATTCCACGGTGTATATGTACCACATTTTCTTTATCTTCTCCATTGCTGATAGGCACTGTGTTGATTCCATGTGTCTACTATCCTAAATAATACTAAGATGAACAGTGAGTACATGTGTCTTTTTGGTAGGATGATTAATTTTCCTTTAGGTATATACCCAGTAATGGGAATGCTGGGTCGAATGGTAGTTCTGCTTTAAGTTCTTTGAGAAACCTCCAAACTGCTTTCCACAGTGGCTAAACTAATTTAAATTTCTAACAGCAGTGTATAAGCATTCCCTTTTCTCTACAGCCTCGCCAACATCTGTTATTTTTTGACTTTCAAAAAATAGATTTTAAGGCTTTAAAGTCACAAAGTTTTAGAAGAAAAATAATTTAAATGTATTTTTGCAAAGTGATATTTTATCCTTATTTGAGTAGTCTCTCATATAGAGTTAGCCAAAAGTGCTGTATCATGCATTAAATTACATGGAGTCCCCGGCTTTCACTGAGCAAAACCCCCAAAGCTTTTATATTGCATATTTATGAGTCCTGGGTGAGCAGATGCAAAGCACCATAAGCATGTGAAACTCACTCACTGGCCCTGGACTGAGTGCCTTCCCTTTGACCAAAGCTGAAGGCTTAGAAATTTACAGAAATAATGAGGGCTACTTGAGCATCGGAGGAAACAGAAGGTAGGAAGAAGAAAAGAATGGAGAAACATGGAGAACAGAGAAGAGAGAAGAAAAGCTCCTCTCCATAACAAGCTATAAGCAACATCCTCTTGGCGTTCCCCTCGGAGCCCTAGCATAATGCTGTGCACATTGTAGGTGCACACCAATTAATTGTTGAACTGACTGAAAAGAAAGCAAAGAGAGAAAGGAGAAGAGAGATGAAAATGAGAGAAAGGGGATTAATAAAGTGTTGTGTGTCAAAAAAAAACCTATGAAAACATGGTGTCTCACTCTTGCTTTTATAAATATCCACAGTGGAGTTTAAAGTAAATCTCTTGGGGTATAGTGGCCCAAATCAGCGTCATAGAAGAGACCGCCATGAGAACCTCTGTCCAGTGCCCTGAGAGAGTTCACCATGCACAGAACTCTGCGAGGCTCTGCAAGGCCTACAGATAGTGAGAAAAACACTGTTGTCAGGTTTGTAATGTGAAAAGAGACTCTTAACTGGAGTCTAATTCTAATTGCTACAACTTATTGGACACATACATTTTGGAAGTTAGTCAATTGTTTTCAACCAATTCTCTCATTTGCAAATGAGGTTAACAGCTGCACTGCTCACCTCTCAGCAGGATAAAATTTTTAATGTGTTTTATAAATAGATACGTTATATAAACAGAAGGCACAATTTTCAGTACTTTGTGACTGCACATGAGTACATGAAAAAGACATATGAACCTTCAGAAGGAGCCTACCAATAAGGGTAAAATTGGCATGTGAAGCTAAGCAGACATATCTTGGTTAATACAGAACCCAACAGATTAGAATCACAGATAAATGAGCCAAGGATGTCTTGTTTAACCCCAAGATATAAGCCCTGCATCAAGGGATAAGGAAGGAGAGGCCGTAGAAAGTAAAGCCAGCCCTCCATATCTGCAGATTCAACCAACCTCACATCGAAAATATTCAAATAATAATAATGATACAACAATAAAAAATACTATGAATTTTAAAAAAATACAATGTAGCAACTATTTATATAGCATTTGCATTATATTAGGTATTATAAGTAATTTGGAGATGACTTGAAGTATAGAGGATGTGCATAGGTTACATGCAAATACGGAGCTACTTTAGATCAGGGACTTGAGCATATGTAGCTTTTGGCATCTGCAAGGGATCTTGGAACTAATCCTCCACAGGTATCAAGCGACAGCTCTATTAACAATTACAGCTCCCGGAGGACAAATGAGTCTGGACTTTGATACTATAGGATGTTCTCCTGATGGAAGTAGAACATCCCTAATAGGCGAGAAATAAGGTTAGGAAAGTTGCATGAGGGAGCAGTTAACGCAAAGCCTTGTATTGAACACAGAGAAGTTCAAAAGATAGCCTATGTTTTTGGCCAGGAGCAGTAGCTCATGCCTGTAATCCCAGCATTTTGGGAGGCCAAGGAGGGTGGATCACAAGGTCAGGAGTTCAAGACCAGCCTGGCCAAGTTGGTAAAACCCGATCCCTACTAAAAATACAAAAAAATTAGCCGAGCATCATGGCAGGTGCCTGTAATTTCAGCTACTCAGGAGGCTGAGGCAGAGAATTTCTTGAACCCTGGAGGTGGAGGTTGCAGTAAGCCAATATCGTGCCACTGCACTCTAGCCTGAGTGACAGAGCAAGACTCCCTGTAAAAAAAAAAAAAAAAAAAAAAAAAACTCAAGCAAACCCAAAAAAACCATAGTCTATGTTATCAAGACTGTATCTGTATTGAAACATTTCTCAGAATTTAAAAGATAAAAAGGAGGGAGAAACACAGAAAGGAGAAAGACAGAAAAGGAAAGAAAAATAAATTAATTAACCGAAAGCATTTATGTTATAAAATTTGGTGCATGTAAGCAACAAAGCAAGATGAAAAAACTCCCCAGGACAAAGGTTATTTAAGGATCACTAAATATATAAATTAATAAAAGTAGGACAGTCTGGCTAAAACTCTTGAATAGGTGTAAAGTTCATAGAAGGCTTTTTGAAGCAGGTGAAGTTTAAGCTGACTCTTCTATGATACATGGATTAGTTAGCAAAGAAGGTTTGAAAAATTCTTGCAAGATGAAGGAAGGATGTGAACAAAGAGATAAAGGTAAGTCATGGTGTCTGAGGGAATCTGTAAAGATCTTTGTGTTGCCACATCTGAGGTGGAGAGTAGTCTCAGGTAATGAGATCCAGAGCTTCACAGGAACAACTCCAGGGAGCAAGTCTGACACCAAGATAAGGCATTTAAATTTTATTCTCCTGGTGATTGAGAAGCTATTGAAGAGCTAAAAGCAAACCAGAGGAGCATATAATGTCCTTAAGCATGCCAATGTGAGTCCGTTTCTCCCCCTCTAGAAACAGTTAAGTTCCTACCCACTCCTTTTCTCCCAATAGTGAGCATTAACAGCCTCTTTAACTTCTACCCCATATCGGTCACAAGCATTGTTATTTATATTTGTTGGTTTCCAGCAGCCTCCCAGTTCGAAGTCCCCTTGAATAGTTAGAAGATCATATGACAGAATCATAAATATGAATAATTTCCAATTGTACTGGATGTGAAGAGCATGAATATTTATTTTAAGTCACACAATACACCCAAGGGTAGCTATTAT